CCATCAGTCAGTGTCTGAAAGGCAAGATGGTCCATCTGTATGGAGACTCCACCGCCAGGCAGTGGTTTCATTATTTGACCAATACACTACCAGGTAGATAATCACAGCAATTTCTGGCAGCAGTTTGATTTAATTTACACTGATGATTAATCTGTTACCTCTGTAATATATTTAGATCTCAAGGAGTTTAACCTGTACAGAAAGAACAAATTTGGACCTTTATTGGCCTTGGATCTAGCAAACGACATCATGGTGACCTTCCGCTGCCACAGTTCTCCTATCATCTTTCACACAGTTCCATTTGCCCAGGTGCGTTACATTGCCAATGAAATAGATGGAATAACTGGAGGCACCGACACTGTTGTCGTTGTTTCTGTCTGGGCACATTTTTGCCCTTTTCCCATTGAGATGTACATCCGGCGGATGCAGAACATCCGCAAGGCTGTGGTGCGGCTGCTGGAAAGGGCTCCAGGTACACTGGTCATCATCCGGACTGCAAACCTCAGAGAGTTAAACCTTGATGTGGTAATGTTTTTCAGCGACTGGTACACACTACAGTTTGACAAGGTGCTCAGAGCCATGTTCAAAGGACTGAATGTTCATCTGGTGCATGCCTGGGAAATGAGCCTGGCCCACCATGTGCCACATGACATCCACCCACTGCCTCCTGTTCTTACAAATATGATTGATGTCATGTTGTCCTACGTATGCCCTCAAAAAGATGGGTAAAATTGTGTTTGTTGGGCAGTGTAGGGCAAATTATTTGAAAACAGCAATACAGTACACATTACACATGAAAAAGGTCATTAGATTACTTTACTAATTACTTGTTACTTTACTTCTCTTACTCTCCCCAGCTACATCAGCTGCCTTTAAGCAACTCCAAATCTTCCACACCCCCTCATCTTGTATTAACACATGCAGAAATAGAAAATGAGATGCTGTGGTTAAACAGTGTGGAACGGTTTATTTATTTTTTTTATTTATTGGATTTATTGATAACTTAGCCTCAGTGACCGCACGAGTCTCTCCAGAAGTCCCGACCTCTGCTGCGTAGTTATTCCGACCTCTGCTTCAACTCTAAGCAAAGCATCATTTATGTTTCAACCAACTGCTGACTAACTATATTTGTTATAATATACTTATAACCAGGAATTGTTGAGAGGGCAATGAAAATAGGACAGGATGGAAAACAGCTATTAGTCACGTTGTTCCTGTGCGTTGCCAATAGACATACGTGGTGTTCTTTTTGTTTGTGGCTGCTGTACGTATCTGACGGTGATCTTCCCAGCCGTGGGTACCTGACAGCTAGCGCTACACCTGCCATACCTGGAGTTCTTTGTTTTCTGCTACTCATCTGCTCGTCCTGGTCTCCTCAGTCATCTCCACTCTGCCCTTGGTTCAGTATTATTCATTGACTCTTATGTTGTTACTTTGTGTTCTTTATTCTATTAAACCTCCTTTTTTGTACTAGCACCTGGGTCAGCCATCTTGAGTCCAACTCCAGTTCTCCCTCACCCTCCAGGTGAGGGGGAGTCAACCATAACAAGTGCTTTTAGTCCCGGTGGTGAAGAATAAAGCAGGAAAGGTGGGCAGCTCAGATAATTATAGACCCATTGCACTTGCTAACATACTAAAGTTGTTTGAAGAAATTCTCGAGTAGGTTTCATAATCTTATTGGCTCTACTGATAATCAATTTGGGTTTAAAGCCAATCATGGCACTGATATGTGTATTTTTGCTTTAAAATAACTAGTCAGTAAATATAAAAGTAAAAATTTGACCATATTTATTTGTTTTTAGATGCTTCTAAAGCTTTTGATCGAGTGAATCATAGGAAGCAATGATCTTTGCAAATTTATTAAAAATGAAAAATGAAAAAAAATAACGTACATAATTGTGAGATGCTTGTCATATTGGTATGCCCACCAGACTATGTGTGTCAGATGGGATAATTGTATATCTGCACCCTTTCAGACCTGTAACGGGGTAAGACACGGTAGTCCGTTGTCCCCAATTTTGTTTAATTTTTATATGAATGTTGTCTCTGAGTAGCTAAATATGTGTAGAACGGGATGTATGGTTGGTGGTACAATAGTGAATCACTTAATGTACGCAGATGATATGGTGATTTTTAGTCCCAGCTCGGCAGGTCTCTAGCAGCTCTTGAATGTGTGCTCTCTGTTTGGGGAGCTTCACGATGTCAAGTACAATTCTGATAAAAGTGTTATTATGATATGCCACACAAAAGAGGACAGGTCCCTTGCATTCCCTTTTTTTAAGTTATCTGGTAAGTAAAATTGATTCTGTTTAAAGCGTATTGTACCTCCCTGTACACTGCACATCTATGGTCTAATTACAAAAAAGGCAGTCTTTGGAAACTGACAGTGGCCTATAATGACGCCTTGAGGTTATTATTGAAATGGGCTAGATGGATGAGTGCCAGTGAATTGTTTGTGGCATCTCGGATCAGTATATTATCTGCTGTTTTAAGAAATTTGATGTACAAATTTATTTGTCGTTTGAATAGTTCTGGAAATGGCAAAGTTTTATTGCTGACTAATATTGCATATAGTGATATGCGATGTATTTCAGTACTTTGGAAACACTGGTATACCTGCCTTTTAAAAAGGTAGTTGTTTATTGGTGGTTGTTTTTTTGTTTTTTTTATTGTTGTTTATTGCTGACTGTTTTTTTTTTTTAAATTGTTTTTAGTATTTATGCACCTGGACCTTGAGTCTGTAAAGTATCTGTCTATCATTCTGAAAGCCATGCCACTCTCCTGCTTCTAGCTGTTCATTACACTGCAAATAGTATTTTTATTACAAGTAGAAAATAGTGCTGCAAGTGACTGCTTCACCTGGAATCAACACATGGAAAATCTAATTTTACAGGTTCACAGAGTGTTTGCAAGTCACATCTCTGCACTGTAAGTCCCTGGTGGGCTATGGGTAAATGTTTCCTGCAAGGAATAGGATGAAGACCCCTGGAGCAAGTGGATTGTCAATTACAGCTGCCTGCTGCTGCTGCAGACAGCCCTGTGTTGAAACTATCATCATCATTATCAGCCCCATTACACTAATGGAGGTACTCCACTGCTGATATTAATACAGGCTGTTAGCAGGCATCATCATCCAGCACAGCACATCATCCAGCACAGCACAAAGAAGAGGATGTGATATCAGCTTTTATCACGCCATGTTTACAAAATCAGCAGGATGTGATAGTTATATCATCATCAGTTATACAGCCTCTGTTACACAGTTACAGACTGTCGTGAAATTCATAAGGTTACATTTTGGTGAATGCTTAAAGATCCACTCATCAGTAAAGTAAATGTCCTTCAAAAGAACCAATAAAAACAGTGAGGAGTTTGTCTTGCCCATCACTGTGTAAGAGACTGATTTTTAACTTTTCTGTTCTTGTATACTACAAGAAGGAATTTTCAAACTATTTACTGTATTTCACATCACTATAATTTGCATTAGAAACTGGGGAATGTCATATTAAAAACAGGGTGTTCACCTGTCAGGAGGATCAAACAATTTCAAGTGAGACATTTCTCTGTGACTTAGGGGCATGTTTCCAGTTGTTCTTCCACACTGCGCCTTCAACAGCAGTGAAAGGCTAGGAACCTATAAAAGCAGGCCCATGAGACTGTAATGAGACAATGTTGTAATGTGAAACAAAAGGGATTATCCTCTGATGACAACAGAGATTTGGAAGGCTGTCATTGTTTTTTTTTTGTTTTTTTTCTTCTTCATAAAGGTAAGTGCCCTGAAAGGAGTTTTCCAGAGGGTAGTACAGCACGGTGCCTTGGTAGGTAGGTAGGTAGGTAGGTAGGTACTTTATTGATCCCTCAATGGGGAAATTTCAGTGTTTCAGCAACAATGGAGAACAAACAACATAACACCATGAGAAACAAACACCACACACATACAGTATCTTGAAAAACAAATTTCAGTACCTCAAGCAGCAATAGAGAACAGACAGCATAGCACCATGAGAACAAGCACCGCACACACATCCTGATAAATAAATTCCAAGTACTCAAAAATAGAATCAAGAATTTCAATAATCAAGAACAGAATTCACATATGTGAATATTAACCATGCATTTTACCCCAGGATTTGAGTATTGCACCTCATTGGACTATTACATAGTCCATCATACTTTCACCTGTCTTATCCCTGCAGTGATGTATTGTACAGTCTGATTGCTGTGGGGAGGGACGACCTACGGTAACACTCCTTCTTACACTGGTGATGTAGCAGTCTTGTGTTAAAGGAACTATTCAGAGCCTCTACTGTGTGGTGCAGGGGATGGGAAGGGTCGTGCATGATGGATGCTACTTTTACCAGCATCCTTCTGTCCGCCACCACCTCCATGGAATCCAGGGGGCAGCCCAGGACAGACCCAGTTCTCTTGACCTGTTTGTTTAGTCTCTTTCTGTCCCTGTCCATGCTATCTCCCGTCCAGCCCACAACAGCATAAAAAACAGCAGATGCTACTACAGTATCATAAAAAGTCTGAAGGGGTGCCCCGTGCACACCAAATGCTAAAACATCCAGCAAGGTAATGTAATGTGTCTTTTAATTTGAAATTTAGTCCACAATTGTAATATTTTTTTAAGAAATAGTAATTACAGTTTAAATTACAATGATAAAATGTACTACAACACAAAATGTCCATGTGTTGATTCCTTGCAAGAAGTGGGTGATTTCCGCCAGGGATCAATCACATCTCTTAGTCTTACTGGTGTTCAGGACCAGTCGATTTTCCTCACACCACTTCACAAAGTCAATAACAACCCCCCTGTATTCCCACTCGTCCCCCCAGATACACATCCAACAATGGCGGTGTCATCAGAGAACTTTTGCAGGTGACAGTGGTGGAAGTTGTACTTGAAGTCCGACATGTAGAGGGTGAACAGAAAGGGGGAAAGCACTATTCCCTGGGGCGCCCCCGTGCTGCAGACCATCACGTCTGACACACAGTCATGCAGCCTGACAAACTGAGGTCTGTTTGTGAGGTAATTAATGGTCTATGCGGACAGGAGTTGGTCCACACCTGCCCCCTCCAACTTCCCCCTCAGCAGTGACGGATGGATTGTGTTGAAAGCACTGGAGAAGTCAAAGAACATGACCCTCACCATGCTTCCGTGGGACTCCAGATGAGATAGGGCTCAATGCAGCATGTAGATAATGGTGTCATCAACCCCAATGCCAGGACGGTATGCAAACTGCAGTGGGTCGAGCGCCAAGCTCACCTGGGCACGGAGGTGGCCGAGGACAATCCGCTCCCT